AGGGCTTTCAGACCCTGGAGCCATCTTGTGAAGATGTCATGGAGCTGCTCCTCACTGGGTTTAAAAGCACAATGTGAGTACAGTTAAGGGAGGAAAAGAGCCACACATAGAGAGACAGGCAGGAGCCTGAAGTCTAGAATGTTAGAAACACAAGCAGAGAAGCATGCGGAGGAGAGCAGCTAGCACTAGGCAGTCACAGAAGTCCTATGGGGCAGAAGATGGCCATTCAGCCCATTGTGCCTGCACTGGCTCTTCAATCGAGCATTGTTTCCTATTCCTAATCTCCTGCTTTCTCCCCACACTCCTGAACATTACTTTTATCTAAATAATTATCTAGTGCCCTCTTCATGCTTCAGTTGAACCTGCCTCCACCACAAAGTGCGTTCTAGACCCTAACTCGTGGCTGAGTGAAAAAGATTATTTTCTCATTTCACCCTTGTTTCTTTTGCAAATTGCTTTGAATGTATGTCCTCTCATTCTTGATCCTTTTACCAGTGGGAAGTTTCTCCCTATCTACTCTATTCAGTCTGATCAAGATTTTGCAAGCCTCTATCTTAACCTTCTCATGGAATAGTTTTCAATAACGTGACAGTGAAGGTTAGGGTCTGGTGGATAAACACCATGAGTTGCAGCATTTAGCCTGACTACATAATAAACTGATTAGAAAGAAGGTGAAGGTTGAAGACAGACCTTGTCTACTCTCGAGCAGTCCATTGTGAATCTGAACACGTCACTGAGAGCAGAGAGCAATATATCCACAAAAAGGCAGTCTTTACAGAGTTTGCTCCCTTCAACTGCCAAGATTGGGACAGTATTGAGGAAATTCACAGTCATTTCAACTGGTGACAAGAACTGGAGAAAACCATTCAGCCCCAACAGCCTGTGTCATCAATTCATGGCCGACCTGCATCTCAAAACCCATTTCCCCACTCCATGGCTAACACTCACTCCAGACTGTTTCCTACATGACAATCATTATGCTGCTTTACAGGACATCCCAAAACACTTTGCAACCAGAGACGATACAGGCAGCTACTTAAATGCAGGTCTTTCTTTCAGTGGGAGCTAAATTGACAAGGATCAGAATTGCTGGCTTAAAAGTAAATGGGTGTGCTGATCTTCCGGTGGGGGTGGGGGCGGGGTGGTGGTTTGAGATGTGTTGTGGTAAGTTTAGTTCTGTTGGTGAGATAGCTATGGTGTTATTCTGTATAAAGCCACCAGCAGGGGTTCAGTTTCCCATTCTGGCTATGGTAGTTCATGAAGGCTCTGCCTCTTCATCCTCGAGCTGTAGATAACTAACTGCATCTCTCTAATGGAGGGGGATGTCTATGCTTAGTTGTGGACAATGGCAACTTATACTATTGGTCTCCCAAATTCTGGCGTAGGTTAGTTCTGAGGTACAGCCAGCGCTGTGTGGTTATGCAAAGCAGTCACTTTGCATTAACTAACAGAGCAATCCCAGTCTTGAACACATCCGTCAATGCCCACCACCATGTTGAAAAGGAGAGTACTTCATTGTAACCTCTGCTGGTGTGGGAATTGAACCCAAGTTGTTGGTGTCACTCTCCATCCAGACCAGCACATCCGAGCTAACTGATCCCTCCCAGACAAGAGAATGACACACTGAGCCACAGCTGACATGCACTTTTTGTTTTAAATGTTTCCGTCGCCTAGTTCTCAGATCCCTGAATGTTCATGTGCATGGAGACACTCAGAGGCCAAACTCACAGCTTTGAGGTTGCATTATACCATACTATGGTAGAGACTTCACTGACACTTTCTCAGTAGTTCCAGTAGAATTACTTAATGATTATTTTTAATCAGTCTTTTTAGATATGATCTGACACACCTCCAGGGTAGGTAGGACTTTGCACCCAGCGCTCCTGACTGAGAGGCAGGGACATTACCACTGTACCATAAAAGTCCCTCACAATGAGTGGGATATTTTGGAATCAACTAGTTCGGATGCGTCATAACACACCTCTGGAACAGGTCGGGTTTGAACCCAGGCCTACTGGCTCAGAGGTGGGGACACTACCACTGTACCATAAGAACATCCCACAGGTGTTTTCTTTTTAATTTAACCTATTTTTCTAATCAACCTGTTCAGAGATCTTATTACGCACCTCAGGAGCAGGTGGGACTTGAACCTGGACCTTCTGGGAGAGGGGTATGGACACTACCACTGCACCACATGAGCACCCCATACTGACATTCCAGATCTAGTGAAAAACTTGCTGCACCTTGAAATGACCCATGCGGCTTCTGTGCTCCAAATGAGGCGTTAATTAATGAGGTGCCTCGAAATGATTTGGCGGGGGAGGGGTGGGGGGAGCCTGAAGGAAGAGGTTCCTCAAACAGGATAACAAGGGCAGGAAGCAGGCTTGCTGGACATTTGCTGCACTCTAATTTACAACATCTTTCGTTGCGAGAGACCAGTCAGATTTTTTTTAATTTAAAAGGCATTCGACACAAAGAGATTTGGAAAACAAGCCAGGCCTTGTGATGAATGAAGGAATCCATCTGTATTCCTGCTGCTCCCGATCTTTTTGGCAGCTCCTCACCTTTTTTTTTCAGATTTATTCTTGAACTAACAAGCTGCTTTTTGTGGCTGCTTTTTTATCTCTCTCTCTTTCTTTCTCTACCTCACCACAAGGAACATTTAGAAAAATGCTCCAGATTGTGATAATGCCTTTTCTCTCTCTCCCCCCCCTCTCAGACTCATTTAATTAAAAAAAGAAATAGTGAGAGTGAAGCAATGGATTGTAAGCAATCCCTCTTCTCGAGACAATGTGGTCTTGTTGTCCTGAGCTCCATTTCAGAATGGAGCACCCAAATTTATTTGCTTCCTTACTCCTCTCTCTCCACCTCAACACCCCCACACACAGATAGACACAACCACATAGACACACACACAGGGACAGACATACACACACATATACAGATAGTCTCTCACACACACACACACAGATAATCTTATCCATACCCACACACACACACAGATAATCTTACACACACAGCTGGTCCCACACACAAATAGATACACACAGCCCCACACACATAGACACATACACGCAAATATACACACACACACATAGGCACACACACACGCAGGTAGACACACACATATACAGGCACAAACACACGGACAGAAAGGCACACTCATACACAGAAACACAGACTGACACACTGACCTACACAAACAAATGTACACACACACACACACACAGAGGAGAACCTGCATTTAGGCATCACCTTTAATGGCCTTGGGACATTTCCCACTCCAATTTTGCAACCGACAAGGTCACTTTCAGATGTGCACTCCATTTTGTCACAGCACACACGACAATTTTCACGCGTGAAGATCCTACACACATTAACATGCTAGTGAGGATGACTGAGGTGAAAATATCGGGGAACATCTTTGAAATAAGTGACATGGGGTCCTTTATGCCTCCTGCGAGGGAAGTGGGTTTAACATACCATCCAAAAGGAGGGACTTTCAACAATGTAGCACCCTGTGTATGGCACCGTGAATGTCAACCTCAATCATGCACTCAGCTCAGAGTGACAGGACATGAGCTATGATGCTGAGGGCAGTTCACATCTGAAAATGATCCAGTGAAACTGACAGGATGCATACATCACCCAACAGGGACACATTGTACTTTCCATTTATATCGTGGGCAAACAGGAATGAATATCAATAAATGTCCGGAAACAAAAGTTCACTGTGTAAACTGCCTGGATAGACACGTTGCAGATAGAGTGTTTATGAAAGGGAGGAGCGTCTTCACCATATACCTAAACTTGTCTCTCTTTACTGATTCTGATAGTCGCTACATTGTGCATATTGGCTGTATTTACACGTTAGTTTCTGTCGCCTTAATGGTGATGTTTTGGTTTCTAATGAAGAAGAAGAGTTCTGACGAAGAGTCATATCAGACTCAAAATGTTAACTCTGTTTCTCTCTCCACAGATGCTGCCAGACCTGCTGAATTTCTCCAGTTTTCTGTGTTTGTGTGTCAGATTTCCAGTGTCCACAATATTATACCTTTGTCCATGTATTGGTGGTTGGTTTGAGCAGCTGCTTTGCGATGCCAACAGTGTAGGTTCAATTCCCATGGAGATCATGCTTTCTCAACCTCTCCCCTTGCCTGAGGCGTGGTGATCCTCAGGTTAAACCACCAGCCAGTCATCTCTCTCTCTCTACTGTTGGAATTATGGTAGGATTACGCTGAACCTACTTTTACATTACGGTCCCTATACAGAGTGGATTGGCAGGTCAAAGGGCCCTCTCCAAGTTCAAATGATTTTACCATTCTCATGATAGCCCAGTGAGAGGACTAAAGCCACCTCCAATAGATTTCCATTTCCCTCCATAGATAGTAAGGCAGATGTGTCAATCCATATAGGTACAGTCTCTGGAGTGTAATGATAAATGTAAGGCATTGACACAAACATATGGCCACTCTCACCCAGAGGGTCAAGGGCAGCAGATACATGAGAACACACCCCTTGCAGGTTCCCCTCCAAGCCACTCACCATCCTGAATTGAAAATATATTGCCGTTCCTTCAGTGTCTTTGGGTCAAAATCCTGGAATTTCCTCCTGAAGGGTACTGTGGGTCTACCCACAGCATGTGGGCTGCAGTAGTTCAAGAAGGCAGCTTACCACCACCTTCTCTAAAGGATGGGAATGAGTTCTGTCCCAGCTGGCCCAAATCCCACGCAGGGATTAAAACATGCAAAAGTAAGTTTTTATAAAAAGGAAAAAAAATGCTCCCAATTCACATCATCCCCACCCCACCCCCAACCTACCCCAACCAGGAGGCATAGGCCTTTTGTTAAAACAAACTGTAGATATGTCAATGTCAATGGCAACTGTTGACTATCATCAGCACACAGTAACCCCTTTCAGACTGTTTTAAATTGGGATGTGTAGCTGGTGATGAGGAGGCAATGAATGAACAGAAGGTACTAGCCAATAGAGGGCCTTACCTGTGTCGACATCGTTAGGCCATCCTCCGCTCTGACTGCTGCCCGCAGCTGGAGATCGGCCTGTACTGGAGTAAAAGACTTCATCCACCGGGCTCTCCATCTCACTGTCCTCGATGGATTTGTGTCGCTTGGTGGAGCTGTGGAAAAGCAGGGGCAGCATCTGAAAATGTGGTGGCGACAAAATACTCACAAAGCCCAGCCACTCAGCCTAACTGTGTGGTCGGCTTTCCCAAGGACTGAAAGGCCCCTTTCTAAAGGCACTGAGTCCCACAGTCCCCAGCTCCAGGGTCTGCCAATATTTTTCTACCAGGACTCAACTGTAAGACACGTGGAAGGGGGAAAGGGTAGGGTTGGGGAGTAGATCCATACGGTCAGGGAGGGGCTAGGTCAGACTGGACCTGCAAGATAGCTACATTGTTCAATGGGAAGGTAGTGGCTTAGTGCTAATGTCACTGGAGTCGTAGTTCTAATGCTCTGAGGACATTGGTTCAACTCCCAACATGGCTGATGGCTGAAATTTGAATTCAATTAAAAAGAAGCCAGTTTAATGGTGACCATGTAGCAACTGCCATAAAAACCCATCTGATTCACTTCAGGAAGGAAATCTGCTGTCCACACCTGGTCTGGCCCTACATTTGGCTCCAGACCCACAGCAATGGGATTGACCCTTAATTACCCTGGGGGCAATTAGGGATGGGCAATAAATGCTGGCCTGGTCAGTGATGCCCACATTCCATAATGAAAAAAAACACATATAAGGAGTTGGTAGGGAGGGTAATGAGAAGATTCATCATTTTCTGAAAGCGTTCAAGGACTCTATTTTTATTGCTATCGACAGGTCTTGAGGTTGAGCCACTTAGGCCCCATCTATGGTTTGTTGAAAAAAATGAGAGGATTTAAAGCCAGCTCACAGCCGTTTGTTCACTCAGTTGGTCAGAGCTCCAATGTGACCAGGCCTACCTCAAAGCTTGCGAACCTCCCTAAACTGGAGCTCACAATTGTGAAGCCCGGCACTCAGGTGACCACATCACCCTTTGAAGGAAGCCAATGCATTCCAATGGGAACCATTGCCGCAGGCAGTTTTGGCTTGAGTTTAAGATTCAATCCTGGTCATTGATACCAGTTTAAGAATGATGTCACCTTTACTGACTTCTCATCAATCGTGGATATTTATTGCCCAATCCTGATCACCCCTGAACTGAACATTTCAGAGTGCAGTTATGGGCCTGGAGTCACTTATAGGCAAGATCAGGGCAGGATGGCAGTTTTTCGATCTTAAAGGGCATTAGTGAACCAGAAAGTATTTTTACAACAATTGAGGTGTATAAGATTATGAGAAGCATGAACAGAGTGGATAGGAAGCAGCTGTTCCCCTCAGCTGTCAAACTGACACCTCAGGGTCATTAATGAGGGGGGCATTATTTTAGGTGAAAGGCAGGAGGTTTAGAGGGGATTTGAGGAAGCTTTTTTTTACTCATAGGGTGGTGGGAATCTGGAATGCACTACCTGGGAGAATTGTGGAGGCATTCAAGCACCTAATGCTGGAAAGTGGGATTAGTGTGGATGATGCAGACTCTACAGGCTGAAGGGCCTCTTTTATACAGTATGATTCCACAAACACAGTGACTGCACCCATAGTTAGTGAGACTAGCTTTAATCACAGCTTTATTATTTGATTTTCACTTCTTTGCCATTGTGGGATTTGAACCTGTGTTCCAGGCTATTCACCCACATCACTGGATCACAAATCCAACAATATAACCGCACCAACACTGGATCGGAAGAAAGCAGGCCACTGTTTCCACAATGATGTCAAGCTCATGGGATTTCCCACCCAGAGCTGTTGCTCCCAGTCTCCTACCTGGTGGAGGGTGGGGTGGTGATGGTCCTCCTACCCAGGGGAACCTGGTTAATGCTGTAGTACCCTGGACTCTCCAGGTCAGCCAGATTGAAGCTGGGGCCCGTGGCAGCAGCAACTGGGGCTGAGAACAAGAGCAAAGAATCACATCGAGTTAAAAGGGGAGAATCCAACTACTGACCTATCATTGACACCATATCTCCCTTTCTACCCTCTCCCTCTCTCTCTGTCCCCGCTCTCTCTCCCTCTCTCTCCTTCCCTCTCCCCTCTCCCCCCTGTCCCTGTCCCTGTCTCTCTCTCTCTCTCTCTCTCTCTCCCTGTTACTGTCCAGATTGAAGCAGGCCACCTGTGACTGTACATTTCTGCTTCATCCCCGGGGTAGCCCCTATACTGACTCCATCATCAGGACCCTACTCTGCAAACGTCATCGACTCCATAATGCTTCGTCCGTTCCCTGCCCATGTCCATGGCTTTCTTACCTCAATGTGTGAGTATTCCAACACTCATCCGACCCTCCCCTCATAACCATGATGTCTTCCAAATCTCCACTACCATTATTCCCAACTTGCACCAAAGCCTCTCTCACCCCCTTAACACGTTATCCCCTTGACCCCTTATACCCTAGATCCCTCATCCCCTCACACCTCGTCCCCTTAACGCTTTGCCCCAGTTGTCCCTACACTCCCTTGCTTCACACACCCTTGCCCGCTTGATCCCTCGCCCCCTCGATCCCTCGCCCCCTCGATCCCTATGCTTCACTGGCTCCCAGTTCAGCAACACCTCAACATTAATATTCTGAGCCTGGGTTTCACATCACTCCATGGCCTTGGCCCTCCCCATTACTGCCATCTCTTCTGGCTCCACAACCCTCTCAGGTCTCCAGCCTTCTCCAATTCCAGCACTCTCCCTGACTTTGGTCGCTCTGCTATCGGTGGCTGCATTTTCAGCTGCCTCAGTCCCAAACTTAAGGTTTCCCTCCCTTAGCCTCTCGACACCTTCCTGGAGGGAGAGGTTTATCCTCCAAGGTACGTTTGGACAGGCTGGACCTGTAGGCTTGGTGTTTAGGAAAATGAGATCTGACCTTACTAAAACAGAGACCGTCCAGAGGGGATTTCATTGGCTGGACAGGAAAAGGGTGTTTCCACTTGAGGGGGAGACTGGAACTAGACAACACTGTTCAACAATGAGAGGTCTCTCTTTTCAGAACTTTTCTTTCTCTCAGAGAGTTTTAAGTCCTAGAAATTGTCTTCCAAAGAGGAGCAGTATTCAACATCGGGTGACTCAGTGGTTAGCGCTGCTGCCTCACAGAGCAGGTAATCGGGTTTAACTCCAGCCTCAGGCGACTGTCTGTGTGCGTTTTGCATGTTCTCCCCTTGTCTGCTTCGGTTTCTCCGGGTGTTCTGGTTTCCACGCACAGTCCGAAGATGTCCAGGTTAGTTGGATTAGCCATGGTAAAATGTGGGGTTATGGGGTGGGTTTGGTTGGGATGCTCTTTGGAGGGTTGGTACAGACACGATTGGTTGAATAGCCTCTTTCTGCACTGTAGAGATTCTAGATTAGGCACTTTATAGACAAGAGAGTCAAAGATGGGGTTGGGGAGGTCGGGAAATGGGTCAGACAGGAAAGTGGAGATGAGGCTGGATCAGCCATGATCCTGTCAAATGGTGAAGCAGAGTCAAGGAGCTGAGTGGCCTTCTCCTGCTCCTACATCCTAACGCACTGCTGCACCTCTCCCTCTTCCTTTTAGAGGCTCCAGAAAACCTATTTCTTTGGCCAAGTTCTTGGTCACCCTTGGACTGTCCTGAGGAGTCAGTACCTTCAGGAGACAACATTAGCTACTCACTTTGTCGGGGTCACCCCAGGACCATCCAGTTTCCAGGGTTCAATATGACCTGGTGAGGTACTGGAGCTCTGTCACAATAGCAATTCACATTTATCCACTGCCCTTATCATAGTGTTGCTTTATGAGGCACTGCATCAAATGATATTTCGTTACCCTTTCGTCAAGAGCCTTGAGACATTTAAGTGTGCACTTGTGATACCAAGGCAGACAAGTGCTGGAAAACGGGATTAGAATAGTGAGGTAGTTGTTTCTGACTGGCACAGACATGATGGGTTGTAAGACCTTTTTCTGTGCTGTAGATTTCTATGGGTCTATGACATTTAACCACATTAAGGGTGCTATACAAATGCACATGCTTATTATTGTTATCCTCAGTATGAGCCTGGTCCTGTTCCTCCATCTCACCCCAATCAGCAGATCTTTCTATTCCTTCCTCTCCTCTCACAGATGACTCCCCGGGTCAAAGGCAAGAATCATGATGACTCAAGTCAAGGGAACACAGTCAAAGGTCACTCCTTGGGTCATCTCTGATCTACCTCTCAGGGGATAACTGTGTGAGTTACTGGATACATTTTTGTTTCAAATGCTCAAAGATCTTGGATTTACTGTGGGACTGTGCCAATTGTAAATCTTGATCTCCAAACTTAAAATAAAAATCAGATCAACCCTGATCTGATCACACGGTGGAGCAGGCCTGAGAGGTTGAATGGCCCACTACTGCTCCTCTGTGCTTGTCCATATGCACTTGTCTAGTTTCTCCTCAAATTCATTTGTTCAATGTGCCTCATTTATTCCGTGTGGAGGTGAGGCTAGGCTCAGCATTTTCAGTCCCCCCTGAACTCCCATTTAGCAACAACTGTATAACCCCAATTACCATTTCTGGCTTGAAGAGGAAGGGTTTGCTTTGGGCCTAACCACTCAAGTAAGCAAACCCCTATCAGATAATTCTCCTGTCTTTGCTTCACAATGGTTGGAGGAGGAAGAAAGCACAATTTAAATGATCAAATGTGTTGAGTCAAATGTTTCAAGTGAAGCAATTTATCCCTGGCCGAAACGCAAATAAAGACACGTGTATATGTTTTGTACATTAACCAAGATAAAAGCAGTTTAAAATCAATCAAGTTTATAAATGGCAAACAACAAATGCCGCATTGTTGGCTTCACTCATCACATGCTCCGTTTCTGAGATAGGGGGTGGGGGCTATGTCAAGAAGAAATGTTGACGAGGTTGGGCCTGTGATGATTAGAGTTTAAATGGATGGGCGTGTTGAGAGGATGATTCCCCTTGGAGGGGTTTCCTAAATAAGGAGCCTCCCATTTAAGCTGGAGGTGAGGTGGTGTTTGTTTTCCCTCAAAGGATCTTTAACTTTCAGAATACTCTCCTCTAGAGATTGAGTCACGAAATACATTTGAGATGGACTTAGACAGATCTTTGGTCAACAAGCAGGGAAATAGGCAGTAAATCAGCCATGATCTTATGGAACAACAAAAACAGACTCGATGGGCCAAATGGCCTACGCCTATTCCTTATATAACCTCATATCTTCACACTCTGACATACATATGACACCATCCTGTCTCCTTAAGAGCATAAGACATAGGAGCAGTTTAGGCCATTCAGCCCATCAGGTCTGCTCCACCATTCAATGATCTGATCATTGTCAACTCCACATTCCTGCTATTTCCCCATTACCCTTGATTTCCCTTACTGATTAAAAATCTGCTTATTTCAGCCTTGAATATAGCTAATGAGCCAACCTCAACAGCTGTCTGTGGTAAACAATGCCACTGATTTGCAGCCTTCAGAGAGAAGAAATTCCTCCTCATTTCTATCTCAAATAGGTGACCCCTTACTCTGGGATTATGCCATCTGCTCCTACACTCTCCCACAAGGGGAAACAAGCTCTCCGCATCTACCCTGTCAAGTCCTCAAGAATCTTGTATGTTTCAATAAAGTTGCCTCTCATTCTTCTAATCTCCAATAAGTACAGGCCCAACCATACAATCTCAGCATTATTAAACACTTTCATTCCAGATTTACTGGTTAAACCATGATAGCTTGTAACCTGATGGTACGGAATTAATAGTCCAGTACATTTATCACATCACCAATGCAAGGTGGCAACAAACTGTGATAATTCAACACAATAAAAATACCTTTAAAATAAAGTGTAAGAATCTCCAAAGCAAACCAATCAATACTTACTTTGCGACACTCTCACAAGTTCAGAAACGCTAAAAACTCCAGATGTAATAAAACAGTCCTGGAAATTCAAATGCCCTGATGAGGAGAGAAAAGAAAGTCATTGGAAAATGATTCAAAGCTGGAGTAAAATGACACACAACAGGACTGTCCTGAGGAGTCAGTACCTTCAAGAGACAACATTAGCTACTCACTTTGTCGGGGTCACACCAGGACCATCCAGTTTCCAGGGTTCAACATGACCTGGTGAGGTACTGGAGGTCTGTCACAATAACCATTCACATTATCCAGTGCCCTTATCACAGCAACTGTCCCATTTTGGATGTATATCAAATAAAAAATAGACAGGGAGCTTAAAGCAGGAGAGTGGCCGATAGCACAGCTGCCAGTAGTGAAGTAAAGCAAATTGGGAAATGACAAGAGTATGATTCCTATTCTCCATCGCTCAGTTTTACTTTCTCATTCATTCACCAGATATGGGTGTCGCAGGTGGAAGCCAGCAATTCCCAAAGACCCATGGATTAACTTTTTAAAACTTAGCAATACATTCAGTATCAGCAAATCTATGGTAACCGGGAGAGGACACAATTAAACACATTCCAAACTTCTGCCAATGGAGGGTGCAGGTTTGCAGATATTTCAATGTGCACCCAAATCGCATATCACTGGGAAGACTCCACCTGCCATTTGGGCCACAGTCAACCCACTTATTACTTGTCACCATTTAATGGGCAATTCCATGTTTGCTAGGAACCAAACTGAGGCCAATGCATGAGAATTCTGGATAAATACAATGCAGAAAAAACAGTACACTATGGCATATACCCATCCAAACCGGTAATGGTATGTGATACCACTGTACACTCCCAACCATTTAAACTGGCCTGACAACAGCTACAGCAAATAGTTAAGGCTAAACTTCCCAATCGTGATTATTACCTCACAATAAATTAAACAGAAACAAAAAGATCAAATTGACAGAATTCAGAATACTTGCTTTTCTCGCTGAGCACTATAATAGTGGTCTGTTGAGGATTTTACATTGGGCCTTATTCTGGCAGGAATGAATTGACTGAACCCTGAAAACTAAATGTGATGCAGAAACGTGTAGCATTTATTTCTAGTCTGACATGCAGAACTGTCAGTCAATCAAGTCAGCCTGTAGCTCCCCTAGGGACTGATTCACAGATGCCTGGTTTGAGCAATTCTCACATTTTCTTCCTTCCACCTTCCTTCCCACCACCTCGAGGCAAAGAAAAATCGCCACAATATTCAGTCATGCTGACAGGACACATGTCTTTGCTCAGACTAATTACGAGTTCAAACAATTTATCTGCCAATTTGCTCTTGTCAAAAGGTTGCTCGTAATTTAGAGGCATAAACAGGGACAAGACATCTTTGGAAACCAAACTCCACTGCAATGACCAGGTTTAATGTAGGTTGTGGCAATATGTGAAGGTTCAGCAGAGCTGTGATTTCAATTCACAGAACCTAGAGTCCAGAAATACATGCAGAAGTCTACTGCATCAGAGCGCTTCAAACTGAAAGCAGGATGGATCTAATTTAGTCTTTCTTAGGTGTGAGCTGGGCCTGAACGTTTTTTATTTATTCATTCACGGGATGAGGGCATCACTGGCCAGGCCAGCATATAATACCCATCCCTAACTGCCAGAGGGCAGTTACAAGTCAATCCCATTGCTGTAGGTCTGGAGTCATATATAGTTCAGACCAGCTAATGATAGCAGTTTCCTTCCGTAAAGGGGATTAGCAAACTAGATTGGTTTTTCCTGACAATGGTTTCGTGGTCATCATTTAACTTTTAATTCCAGATTTACACTGAACTCGAATTTCACTATCTGCCGTGGTGGGATTTGAATACATGACCCTGGGTCTCTGCATTAACAGTCCAGTGATAATACCTAGGCCATCACCTTCCCAATGTAATGCAGCGTAACTTGTGTGACTGAGTCACAAGGTTATGAGTTTCCAAATCTAATACTTGTGACAGCATCCAAGCTGACATTCTGACCCTGCTCAAAGACCATTCCTTCCTTTGGCCGAGACGTTAAACTGCTATGTTCTGTGGCACTACTGGGGGAGCTCTCCCCAGTGTCCCAGGCAATATTTATCCCTCAATCAGCACCGCAAGAAGCAGATTGTTTGGTCATTGGAAACAGCAGGAAAAGACAACATAGATCAAGATAAACAATTTCCAATGTTTGAAGTTTCTAGAACAAGGGAGCATACTCTAAAAATTAGGGTCAGATTGTTCAGGTGAGATGTTGGGAAGTATTTCCACACACAAAGAGTGGTAGAGGTTTGGAACTCTCTTCCACAAATGGCAATGGAGTGTGGATCAGCTGTTAGTTTGAAATCCGATTCTGGTCAAGCCATGGCATTAAGGGACATAGGCCAAAGGCAGGTTCTGAATAAGGGTCACTGGACTCGAAGCATTAACTCTGCTCTCTCTCTCTCTTCCCACAAGTGCTGTCAGATCTGCTGAGTTTCTCCAGCAATTACTGTTTCTCTTGCAGGCGTATGGAGTTAAGCCCCAGATTAGCCACGTTCCCCATGAATGGTGGAACAGGCTTGAGGGGCTGAATGGTCTACTCCTGTTGCTATGTCATGGTGTTGCAGCTTGTGGGAGCTTTCTGAGCACAAACTGGATGCTGCATTCCCTCCTTTGCAAAAGTGGCAACATGTCAAAAGTATTTGATTGACTGCAAAGCACTTCAGGGCATCCTGATGTTGCTATATCAATGCAAATCTGTAATTTCCATGGTGAGGAACCTTAAATGCAGACTCACACTTACTCCGGGGTTAGGGACTTGACAAAGGGTTCTCCAGAGCTAGGAAATAATAGGGGGAGAATTAGGTCAACAATAAACGAGCAAATTGTTGGCGCGTTGCTGTATCAATGACCCTAACTTGCATTTATAAAAATTCTAATCTCCTGCTCTTTGAACTGCTCCTCTGACAGTCCAGACAATTTTCAGTCAAACGCAGAAAGCTGGGAGATTGGGGAATGCCCAAAGGAAATGAATTAATGTGGGAAAACGAACAACAGCGCTTCCTTCAGGGGATGAACAGGAAGAGAAACATTAAGTCAAGAATATAAAGAAGGCAGTGAGGGCTCTTGTGGTGTGTGGTGGTGTCCCTACCTCAGGAACAAGAGGATTAGGCCAAGTCCCAACTGCTCCAGAGGTGTATTAGATCATGTCCCAACACATTGTTTTGAAGAATATTTCTAAAGGAGATGGTGAGCTGAACTCCCTCACTTTGGGAGGGATGTTTTCGCAAAGAGTTTCCCCATCAGAAGACCAGATGAGTGAAGGTAACATTAGGATGAAGAGGAAGATGAGGGATAAGAAGGGTTCAGTTGGATTGATGATTAATCTAGAAACATTCACTGCAATGGAGGGAGTATGGGTTTGAGAGGTCAGGCTGGGGTTAAATTTAGTGCTCAGATTATGAGCACTCTGGTTCAGTTTGAGACCAGAGTTTTAACCCTTTCCGCAAATGGTTTTAATTAAGCAATGTCAGGGCAGCGAAAATGTTATGTCTAAAACTTGCATTATCTTCCGGTGGAGAACTTAAAACTTGCTCATACTTTGCTACTTCTGTCAAATTAATTCCAAATTGTTGAAATGATAGATGGAGGCACAAAGGTAGCTGGGACATTAGATTACTGCCCTCTGGAGTGCAATTTGTTAAACATAGATGTCAGTTTTTAACTGGCAGTGTGGTACATTTTACTTTCATTGCAAAACCTTGGGAAAGTTACAGCCCAGAATGCAGGGAGCCCCAAGGAGTAACATTTAAGTTGATGTGAAGTCTCGGTTTTGGGTACAAGTCCTGGGAAACTATTCTGCCAAGAATCTTACAGATCAGATAGAGGCCATTCACTCCATCATCCTTGTGGGGGCACGTTGAAAGAATGAAGCGATTAATCCCATCATCCCACCTGGCCCAGCTCTTTCCTCATTGCTTTGTATTTTGTTCTTCCTCATTAAGTATTTGCCAAATTCCCATTTGAAAGTCACTTTTAAATCAGCCTCCATTCCAGATCACCATAATCTGCTGTGTGACAAAAGTTAAAAGAATCTTATCATCGCTCCCCTACCATCCTCTTCTCTGAGTCTCCCAACACCCACACTGTCCTCCCCTAACTCCACCAGCTATTTTTTTTCTGTTGTCTTAAGTTGTTGTCCTTTGATGCTCCTCAATGTTTTGCCACTGGAAATGGTTTTTCCCTCTCTCCTCTATCAAAACTCTTAGCAACTTTGAGATCGTGGTGTGGTGGTAATGTTGCATTTTTAATTCAGAGGTCCAGGCTTCACCTTCTGGGGGTGTTGTTTTAAATCTCACCATGGTATTTAAATTCACTTAATAAATCTGAAAATTAGTGACTATTGTAAAAAAACCCATTCGATCTATTACCATCCCTTAGGGTATCTGCAGCCCTTCCATGGTATGGCCTATATGTAACTCCAGACCCATATCAATGTGGCTATCTCCTAACTGCCCTCTGAAATGGCTGAGTGAGCCACTTGGTTCAAGGGCATTAAGGAAGGGCAACAAATATTGACCTTGCCAGTGAGAGCCACATCCCACGAAACCTTTTAACTTTCTTCGCTCAGAGGAGAACAGTCCCAGCTTCACTAGTCTCTCTATGTAACCAAATTCCTTAATTCTGATCTTATTTCCTCCACACCCTCCCAAGGCCTTACATCCTTCCTAAGGTGTAGAGGCTAGAATGTAGAAAGATAAGCAAGGGTGATGTGAGAAAAGACTTTTTCACACAGCGAGTAATTAGGGTCTGGAATGAGCTGCCTGGAAAAGTGGTGGAGGCAGGTTCAATGGAGTCATTCAAAAGGACACTGGGCGTTTGATTAGATAATGATGCTATGGAGACATGGGGGAAAAGGCAGGAGATTGGCATTAGATAACACATAATACAGCTGGTGAAGAGATGTTGGACTGAATGGTCTCCTTCTGCGCTATAATAATTCTGGTGATTGAGGGATTCATTAAATTACTAACAGAGCATGTGGAAGGGGATGGAGATCAGGACAAAA